CTGCCCTGAAATCACAGGAGTAGGTAAGAAAGACAGCAGGGTGTTAATGGCAGCAGGGGGAATTAAAGAAAAAAGGAGCAGCAGGCCTGGCCGCTCCAGGGCCACCAAAACGGAAGCGGGCAGTGCGGGCTCCGTGGGACAGAGCCTGGAATGAGCCGGGCGGTAAAACCACCACCTTCCCCAACATTTAAGTGTCTCCTGGGGAGGTTTCTACGATTCTAAAGGATGCGTGCTCCTTACTTCCTCTTAGAGAAGGAGTCTCTGCTACACTCCAACACAGCACTCCGCATGCCCCATTCAGCAGAGACACAGGCGTGCTGCAGGTGAGGCCGCCTGTGAGGTCACCCCGCCAAGAGGCAGCACAGCACCCAGGGGCAGAACCAAAGCCTGCCTTTCCCACAACTGGCTCACTTGAGCTACAGTGCCTTTCCTCCACCATGTCAGTGCTCGGAGCCCAGCGGAGGTGTTCAGAGGCCCCCAGTCAACAAAAGCCAGCAGAGAGACACACCAAAAAACAATCTTAAATAGAATGACAGATGACAGCTAGAGAAAGAACAAAATGGGGAGCAGGGGAGACATTAAGATGAGAAACAGAAGGGAAAAGCCTTAAGCGTAATCCCCAAAACAAAATTCCCAGAATTATATTGTTGTTGCCAAGTAAGCCACAAATTTATGGCTAAAACTAACTTGAGGCTGGCAGTGACTGGCAGCAGTCGAACTCGCTCATGTCCTGGCCAGAGGAAAAGTTGTTGGGAGCCAGCAAACAGGGAACAGAAAAGGAAAAGAAGAATACAATTAATAAAAATAATAGCTAACAGTTACTGAGCACTTTTTTATGTGCTTTGTATGTGTTGACCTCTGTGTATTAACCCCTTAATCCTCATAATAGTCCTGAGGTAACCACCTCCGCTATCTCCATCTTCCAGGGTTGGAAACTGAGGCACAGAAAGGTTACATAACTTGCCCAAGTTTCACAGACAGACATCAGTATCAGCCTCGGGCCTGTATGTCGTCACGTGTTCTCATGCACATGTGTCTGACATACGTCACGCCAGCATTGGGGAAATACCTCGGAAGGCTTCCGATCTTCATGTCTGGAGCAGGAACCTCTCCTGTGCTGGGACCGGGAATTCTGAGACCAAGTGGTGGACAGGCCTAAAGACACAAATAGCCACAGAGGAACAATTAAAAGTGCAGAAATCACTGAGTGCTCAGTTTTCTTTAGCCAAACTCAGCAAGGCTCACTGCCACACCCCGCAAGAGACAGCCATGAGGCTGGGCCAGAGCACTGGACACTCAGAGCCCCGCCTAACGCTCACCCGGGCGGGCCTCCTGGGACCCCAGCACAGCACACAGGGGGACACAGGCTCTGGGCCAGAAGCCTGCATGTCTGAAGTTAAGACGGTCGAAGTCTCCCGATGCTAAATACACACTGGAAAACATCTCACTGAGTTTTTAGGAAACTTTCGTAACGCGAAGATTAAGATCTTTATGCTAAATCCTAAGGCCAACCTCGAAACTCCTGGTGCCCCTCTCTCTGCTTCTCCGCTCGCCCAGGCCCAGGCCCAGGCCCTGCCCGGCTCGAGCAGGAGATGGTCAGACCTGCACCTCACTCTCCTCCTGCCCCGGCTCCAGGTGCATGTTCACCTCAAATGAAGACATCGCCCCAGAGCTGTCACCTCAGCGCTACAAAACTGGGCCGAACCTTTGCCCCAAACCTGTCCTCCCCGTCTATTCTTAACCTGGTGAGTATCACGTTTCTACTTGAAGTCAGAAATCTAAGTCACCCTAGACCAGTGGTTCTCAACCTTCTGGCCCTTTAAATACAGTTCCTCATGTTGTGACCCAACCATAAAATTATTTCGTTGCTACTTCAGAACTGTAATGTTGTTACTGTTATGAATCACAATGTAAATATCTGATATGCAGGATGGTCTTAGGTGACCCCTGTGAAAGGGTCATTCGATTGCCAAAGGGGTCGCGACCCACAGGTTGAGAACCGCTGCCCTAGGCCCTCCTCACTCAGGACAGGTCCAATCAATGGCAAAGTTGTATTAACTCACTGCCCATCGCCCCAGACTCCTGGTCGGCCCCCACTCACACCACTGCCCATCACGTGTTGTGTAGACACTGGCTGCGGCCTCCTGTTTGTGGATGCCCCACCTGCAATGTCTCACCTCCAACCTGAACACATACCTACCATTTCCCAGAAATTAACACCCCCCACTTCAAAGCCAAAACCCAAAACCGGAGCGAACTGCCATCCTACTGTCACTCAAACTGGAAGCTCTTATCTCTACAGATTCCAGAGATAAGGGACAGAACCAAAGTACGCATGAGACCTTGGGGACACTAAGAGATAGAATCTGCACGTAAGCCTATCATCGGATTTGCGATGACGGAGACTGAAGGGGATCTGGAGACTGAAGGGGATCTATCGCCAACCTTCCCCCTGGCACAACCCACACTCACCAGTTCTGAGGCCTGTAAGTGGGGCGACTGTTAGGACAGCAGAATGGCCTCCTCCTACAGGTGGCCCCTGTAGCCGCACTCAGTAAAGCGTCTAGAAAATGCCTTTTTAAGAAATAGGGAATGTGAACTAGACTGTTTCACGCCCACTTAGAAATATTCTGGGTCACTGGGATGAACCCAACTTACAGAGGTTCCAAATCCTGTCATCACTGGAAAAAGCAAAGACAGAAGCCAAGGCAGGAACCTGGAGAGGAAGGTGCTGGGGGGCTCGTGCCTTTAGGAGGCCTCTCACCCTGGGTTCCTGCAGGCCCCCTCAGCCGGCTCAGGGCCCGGGAATCTCAGGAGGGGAAGGGAGGGTTATTAGGGCAGGAAGGCATGATCCTTCCCTCTGGGTGACTATGAAGGGATATAATGAAAGGAACAAACCGAGAAATTTAACAAGGACCATTCATCCCATTGCTATACTATAAACCTCACATGGGGCGGAGGGAGGCGAGTCCTTTCAGAGATAAGCAGAAACCACACTCCTGTCATTGGTGGGTTGGGGACCTGTTGCCTTTTCTTAGGCATCTGTCAGCACCATTTCCGAGGCTGCCAGGAGCCTGCAGCTTTGCTGGCATGGAACAACCAAAGCAGTGACGGTCACACAGAAACTGCTGCTTCTCTATCCTTGAGAAGTGGGTGTCTGCACCACACTTACTTTTTACAACAGAGAACCGAAGGCGCTGCAGATCTGGCACCTGACAGTAATACCACCCAAGGGAAACACCGGTCCACCCAGCAGCGTTCCATTCCTCTTCCTTTCAATGGGCACGATGCATAGGACAGTAGAGAAGTAAAAGATAATCCTATTAAACCCACTTTATAGAAAGTGAGCCTGGGGCGGGGTGGTGGGGGGGCGTTTCCATTATCACTGATGTGAGAAATGTTCTTAGCCTAATTATAAAGGCCAAAACCCAGAAACCACCCACACATGCGCCTACAGACGGCATGGATTCACACACGGTGGTATATCCATACAGTGGAACGCTACCCTGCACCAAGAACGGCGCTTCTGAGGCAGGCCGTGTGGACCATGCTGGAATAACTACTTCGAGTGAAGGAAGCCAGACAGTCTGTAGCATATTACTCCACTTACAGAAAACTCTGAAAAATATACACGAGTCTCCAGCGACAGAAAGTGGATCCTCTGATGAGGGGAAAGGTGGGAGGGAAGGATTTCCTTGAGTTTTATGGCTGTAAACATGCCAGAACTTATCAGAGTATCCATATTTAAGGCGGGCAGGAGATACCTGATGGTTTTCTATCATCCACTAACAACAAAGAAAAAGAAAATGCTCCGTTTTACTTGGCACAGGTGGCTCGCGCAAAGCCGAGACTCTGCAGCCCATCCAGATGGGAGTGTGGGACGGGACCAGCGGACCCTCCCACCTCAGCAGCAGGTCCAGCTGCAGGTCTCTGTTGCGGGTGGTCTCTTCCTCCTGATCTCCTTGACACAGCAGATCCTCAATGAATGTTTTTAAAAGTGGACAAGAATGTGGTGTCACCGTTCAGGACTGTCATACTCGGCGAGAACCATCCCTGACACTTCAGAACTGGAGGCAGCAGGCACAGAGAACACGCTCCCGTTTTGCCTATCGGAAGTGAGGTTTGAGCTCCAGGAAAATAAAACAATGGGACATGTGAAGGCAGCCTGATGGGGCCATGGCCTCTGTCTGGATCAGAATGCGGCGACATCCACAGGTTCCCAGGAAGTCCACAGCGGAGACTCGAGCAAGTGTCCTGCCGTCCCTGCCCCGTCCTCCTGCCTCAGCCAGGCTCTCTCTGGACGGTTCTCAGATGGTCAAGAAGCTCCCAGAATATGGTCCAAACAAAAATAATTTGCATCCCTTTGTAACTGAAAAAAAGCTAGGTGACGCTGGGTGGGAAAGAATTATGAAACCAGAAATGAGAGCATTTCAAACCCTGCAAGGACGGGGAGACAGACTTATCTTGGCAAACACCTGCCACTGGCCAGTTCTCAGAACCGTGTGCTGAGGCCGCGCTGGGTGGGGCTGCGTTCTGCATTGTTCTGAGTGCTAACGTTTAATGGCAGACTAAATTAAGAATGTGACGAGTAACATTTTGTTTTGTTTTTGTTTTGCTTTTTAAATATATTTTGTTGATTTTTTTTACAGAGAGGAAGGGAGAGGGATAGAGAGCCAGAAATATCAATGAGAGAGAAACATCGATCAGCTGCCTCCTGCACACTCCCCACTGGGGATGTGCCCGCAACCAAGGTACATGCCCTTGACCGGAATCGAACCTGGGACCTTTCAGTCCCCAGGCCAACGCTCTATCCACTGAGCCAAACCGGTTAGGCAACATTTTGTTTTGTTTTCTTTCTGTTTTCAGGAGAGGAGCTGGGAACTCTAATCTGGTAATGATGTCTGTGACTATTTTATTGACCACACACAAGAGAGTGTCTGAAGTTAAGTCCGCTCCGTGACAAATGTAAGCAACTTCAGAAATTCTTATGCTGTTAGAGTAACAATATTGCATATTAAATACTGTAAAGAATGAACGAAAATATGTCTTGTTTTGTTTTAATATCCCCACCTTCCATTAAAAAGTTACAAAGGCTCGCAGGTGGCAATACCGTGGGCACGGGTCCTGTGCACACCAGCTTTCTGATAGTGCAAACGTGCTCCTTTGAAATATTAAAAATAGCCACACTGAGTTGCCCCAGATCTAAAATAAGGAAAAGCCTCAAGAGTAAACCTAATATGTGTTGCACATGACTTTCACGCATAGTAGCTCGTGTGTGTTAAGCCTCCCAGGTTGTACAGTGCATGTAAGGTTCAGAAATTAGAATGAATGGTGGCCTGGGTGTTCACACCACAAAATGCAAATGACAGAAGAACCTGGCCACGGACCTAGTGGCGTGCCTCCTGTGTCTCAGACCCTGCGTCTGGCACTAGAAAACAACATGCTGGTGGCTCCCATCCTGTTAAACCGGCTTAACCAGGTAAGATGCTTAGGACCGGCCAGCATGACGTCCAGTGGCCGGCCAGCATCAACTGCCAGCGCAGACCTGAGAGGGCCCGTGCGTTCCTCCCGGGGACGGCTAGCCTAGCCCTGTGCAAGACAAGCAGAGCCAGGGAAATTCCTATCGGAAAGTTAGCTGAGTTAATGTAGTCACTGGCTATTCACTGTAACAGGATGAAAGGAAGCAAGCCTCGGATACAGCCGCCGTTTCTATCCGGGGCTGACCCTATGCCTACCCCAGCTCTTCCTCCCCAGCAGAGCTCAGCTCCATGGTCCAAATCACTGCCAACTTCCAAAATACAGAAGCGTAACACATACATTCAAAGAACTGGCCCAGGCACATTCCGACATACTTAGTGCACTGGGTTCTTCAACCAACTGGCACATGCGTTTGATTCCCAGCCCCCAGCCCTCCTGCTGAGGTCCAAGTCCCAGGGCCACAGAGGTTAGTCCATGCCCAGGATCCTTTGTGCCAGTGGCTCCTCGAGCCCAAGCTGTTAACCTTTTCATCAGTGTCAAAGCCAAGCCACCAGCTGGGTCTGAAAAGGGGCCAAGCCACCTGTGGTCCTTGAGGAGACACGGGTACAGTGCACATTCTTAGTACTAAAGCCAAAGTTCCCATTTCAGTGATTCCTATGCAACTCCTGGGTGTGTCACCGATGCAACTCCTGTGGCAAAGGAGCAAATTAAAGGTACAGACAGGAGCAGAACGGAGACAGAGCACAGAAACCACCGAAGACATGTGTGGAAGTGACCAAGCACAGCCAGCCAAACCGAAAAGGAAGACAAGTTACCAAAAACTCGATGGGAATCCATCAAACGCAGTGATACGGAGAGTCTGTTTCATCCGCTAAAAAAGATGGTGCCTTCACAGCTGCCGGTAAGCTGGAGGGCCCAGAAAAACAGCCCCCACATAACTTCATGCTTGCCAGGCATCAGCCTGCATTATCAGCTGCAACTGTAGTCGGTGTGAATCTGACTCAGCAATCTTTCCTGCCCATTCGTGGGACAGGAGGTGGAGCCGAGCTCAACTGCAGAACTGCACTCGACAGGAGTGTGTCCCAGCGGCACAGGTGTGGACCCTGGGCCCCGGCCACACCCGGCTTTCCACAGGGAGGTGGACCCAGACCGGAAACGGAGGACATCAGACCAAAAAAGGAAGCCTTGCTTCACCATTTTAGGAAAAACTTTGACCTATCAGCACACCTCTGCTCTCTTTGTGGAAAATAAAAGCACCAATTTAACTTCCCTCTGGGTCTTTGAGAGAGAGGCACATTTTAAAACAACCAAAACACCAAAAACACCACTTACACTTGGCTCCCTTCTCCTGGCCAAAGCCCCCACGTGTTTAAAAAACTGGCCAAATGAACAGTCTTCTTTCTGTTCTACTATTTAATTCTCGTCTTACTTTTACATGAAAAAAAATATATAAAAATGCTGATCAGAGCTGTTAACTGGCCTGAGATAACCAGCAACACACGATTCCCGCCAAAGCAAGAACACGATGTCTCAATGAGCCTCTGCAGCTTTATTACCGGTGAAATGAGCCCTCCTTTAGGGTCTGGAAATGCTGGAAATAGCTGGTGGACCCCACTCGCACATCTGCAGAAACCCCTAAGGGCTGGGGGTCCTCGGCAGGGAAGCAGGAAATGAAGGGCCTGTTTCCCTGCCACCCCTTGGCACCGTGTGCAACTTCAGAGGCTGGCAGGGCCACCCCGTCCCAGGAGCCCAGCAATTACAGGCGCAGCCTGAAAACACTGCAGCGCTGCTCCATCCAAGAGTAGGGCTGGCCCCCCGGGGCACCTGGAGAAGCTCCGGCAGCTGGAGGAAGGCCCGCACTGGCACAGAAAATGCCCATCCACTCCCCATGGTAAATACCACACTGCTGCTCCCTGACCCGGCTCCAGCCCCAGGCCAGCAGCGAGGCGTGGCTGTGGCTGGTGCTGCGGCCCCACACTGACGTCAGCAGCTCCCTCTCCTCCACTTGGACGTGCTCTGCACTGGGCTGGAGCTGCTGCCAGAATCCCGTCAGGGCTGCAGGCTGGAGAGCGGCCACTGCAGACCCAGCCCTTCTTGCAAGCAGGGCTCTCCAAGTGCCCAGATCCGCTGAGGGCCGGCTCGGGCCTGGGGACCTGACTGCAGCGGCAGAAGGCACCCCACTTCACAAAAGGACGGGCGGCTCCAGAGCCTACGGGCCTCGAAGGAGCTGCCCTCGGGGAAGGTGGAGAGGGGTGGTTCCGTGGGTGACGTGCATGTTTTCTCAGGCTGGGCGTGCCAGGGTGCTCACCACTACCACCTGGCACCTCAACTGCCCAACACTAGGCCTGGATGGACAGCACAGCTATGAGGCATCAATGCCTGCTCTACACCAAACCAGCTGCCTGACAAAGATGACCTGTCCACGTCTCGTCCTGCCCAGCCCTACTCTTGGATGGAGCGGCGCTGCCGTGTTTACAGCTTGGTTGCCTCTCTAATTAACCCCCAGGACCCTCTAAACACCGACCTGAACCCTCTGCCCCCCACATGGATATGAGAGCATTAGGGGGAGGAAGAACATAGGCTGTCACCAGAAGGGTGACTTTCGATGGACACACCTTTAGTGGGGACTGTGGCCGCTCTCCTCCTTCATTTTTAACCAGAGCTTGGGAAGGGTGGGGAGGGGTGCATGTTTAGGTGAAGCATGTGGTCCCCTATGGCTGTTACGGGCTGAGTTGTGTCCCCCAGCATTCCTAGGTGGAAGCCAGGCCCCCAGTGCCTCAGAATGGGGTGTATCCGGAGACAGGGCCTTTAAAGGGGGGATTAAGTTAAATGAGGTCTACGAGTGGATCCTGGTCCAAGCTCTCTGGTGTCCTCGTAAGAAGAGAACACTGGGGCACACGGACGCAGGGGAGCCCGCGCACAGAAGGCCACGTGAGGACACGCGAGACGGCAGCCACCTGCACGCCAAGGAGAGAGGCCTCAGAGAGACAGTCAACCTGTCAACACCTCGATCTTGAATTTCTAGCCTCCAAACCGTGAGAAAATAATTGTGTTGTTTAAGCCCCGGCCTGAGCTGAGGCTCCTGCAGAGCCGATGGGCCCGCCCAGAGCTGCACTGTCCAATACGGTCATCACTAGTCACACGTGGCTTTTTAAATTTAAATTAATTGAAATTAAATAACATTTTAAAATTCACTTCCTCGGTTACACTGGATTAGAACATTTCCATCCAATTGGGCAGCTGGAGCCAGAGAGGGGAGGGCCTAATTCAGGGGAAGATTCCAGAACCTCTGTGAACCGGGCTCTCCCGGGGAGGAGCTGAGGCAGTGGAGGGGACAGAGTGAGCAGGACGTGCTGCCAGTGCCACCAGGACACTGACACGGGGCTCAGCCTTCCACTGGCACAGCCAGTGCGGAGCCCGTTCGGGAAACCTTCCTCTGACGAACTGTGACCAAAAAAGCAAGATCTTTAAAATTGCTGCAGGACTACAGTGTGTACTCCACAGCATTTACTGAGCTCTTGTCCGTTCCGAGGACACTGATAGGCACCACAGGGGGCAGACAACATTACCTACGCATGTTTTTGCCTCAAGGAGTGAAACACCCAGCAGATGTTAAACAGGCAGTGAGGGCCGCGAACCTCAGGCGGCACCGTGAAGGCGCGGACAGGAGGCCGAACGCCAGCGCCCGGGCTCAGACCCTCAAGAGCTCTCCCGGAAATAAAAGGAAAACCCTCTCTCCGGAGCCCCGCTCCTGGTCTCTTTCTCTCTCCCACTCACTCCTCCCTGTGCCAAAAGCAGCGTCCCCACAGCCTGCCCCCAAGTCCCAATCCCTCAGCTGCTTCCTGATCTGGTCACGGCTTAACGTACTCGTGCCCCCCAACTCCGACCCCCCTCCCACAGCCACCAACTCTACTTCTCACTGCTCCAAGCCTGGACCAGGGTGCCAACCGAATCCCTTGTGCTTGAGATGCTTTTATGTACCCGGTCCCCTCCCTCCACGTTCCCTGTGGCTATCAGTGGGGCCCCCACGGCAGCAAAGCCCTGCTTTCTAATTTGCAGCTTTCAATCTACTGAAAACTGGGAGACCAGAAAACCAAAACGATCCTGTTCGCCTACAAATTATTTCATCTTTCAGGACCTGCTCAACCTCCATCTCCTCCCTGGGCCTACTGCCCTCCCAGCCTCCATCTCCTCCCTGAGGACCCCTCCTCTCCCAACCTCCATTTCTTCCCCAGGTCCCCTTGACCCCCCAGGTCCCCTTGGCCCCCCACTCCTGTGAACCGTGCCTGCATCCACCGTTTGCATAGGGCACCAGAAACACCTCTGTCACAGCCCAAGACGTCGTCGATCAGAGCTGGAGTTTACAAACACCTAACTCGGAAAGCTGGCCCGATACCTCGGCCATCACACAGGAAAGCAAGCATTCTTCCTGGGTTCCCCCCGCAGGTCATCTCTGTAAAACACCCGCTAATGTGCTAGGGACAAAATTCCCTCGGTATCTGAGGGGAGCTGTGGAGCAGTCTGTTAGCTGCTCAATACACAGACGCTGTGTGACATTTATTTTGACTGCCTGGAAGCCAAGTAACTTCTGGGTCCCAGCTGCACTGTGAAAACATGAGGATGCCAGCGAGCTGCGGTGCGGGCAGCAGCCGTATGGAATACAGTCACCGGCAAAGCCAGGGAGGGGCGCCGGCTCGCCACCACTGCAGACCCGTCCTGAACACTTCACATCCCGCCAGGCAGTCCTCAGTCTCCCTTTGTATCGGGTTGAACTGGCCAATAATTAACTGGCTTGGGTTAAGCTCCCTTCTCATAAAGAGCAACTGTGAAGTGATGTTCAGGAGGAACACACAGGCCAGTGGCTCTGGGAACTGGATTCCTCGTCCTTGGGAAACAGACAGACGCCTGAGGAATGCCCATGCAGCTACCTCACCGGAGAGATGTGGTTACAGACCTGCAGTATCACTCAAGGTGCTTCGCCAGGCCTTGGCGTTCAACGACCTGCCTGACAGGCGAGACCTGCCCGGGAGGCCAAGGGCCTCGGCTATTTAAAGCATTACATTAAAAAATCATGTTTTGGCCCCAAACCCTGGTGGGCTCCAAGAACAACAAAGCAGGACTCACTGCCATTGTCGTCAGAATCCTCACTGCTGCTGGGAAGGCGACCTCGTTTCATGATCTCCCCGGGAAACAGCAGGCAGCCTGCAAAGCAATGAGACAGCACTTAACCCAAGATGATAATACACGATCATCAAGTTGTGCTTCAGAAGGCAGCCAGGATTTACAGCACACAAAAGCAAACAATCGGCTTTAAGGAGCCTTTGAATGGTAAACAGTGAAAAGCCCAAAGATACATAATTAGGTGCAATCATTAACAGAACAGGTTCAGAACCGAGGGGGAAGGGCAGGGGAGTCACGTATCAGGAGTCTCCCAGAGGTGCCAGGTTCCTCGCTCATTCCTGTGACAGCATGGCAACTACTCCAGGAGTCTCTTCAGCTGGCGGTGGCAAGCGCTGCAGGAAAAACCCAGGCAACGACCACGGTGCTTCCTCTGCAGACAGGCTCCTGTCTTAGGAAGGGGGGCGGTGTGCGGAACGTGTGAATATTTACACGGCGCTGGGCATGATTATGCTTCTCAGGCATATTTCACTGCAACAGCCCTAAAAGCCGAATAACCTAGATTCTAGGGAAGACAAATGGGGTGGTGGGATTGCAAAGGCCTCCCGTAGCCACCTCCAACCCTCAGCGATGCACAGCTGGGACAGGAAAGGACCAGACAGCCATAGGATTCTGACTCAAGCCCTCCCCTTGACACATTAGGAAACTGAGCCAAAAAAAGGTCACTCTGTGGTCCAGTTTCACTACACTTCACCCCAGCTCCTTCCAGGAGGTCCAGCAGTCCAACCTCACGCAGCACACTAAGAAATCAGCTGTACAGAGCCCCAGCCCACTTTGCCAGCTCCTTCCAGACATCGGTGGTAACAGGCCTCAGCCCCATGGGGTAAGAGGAAGGCTATGTTTAGGGAAAAGGGCCATGGATGAAGCCTGAATGGCCCGGTCACGGAACTTGGACAGACTCACAAAATATTTGCACAGGACAGCTACCCCAAAACCCTCCCAAACTATAATTACTGATCACCCTGATGTATTTTCAGGGCCCTGATCTTACTGCAGATCAATGATTCGCAGGAAGGGAGGAGGGCTTTTGAGTCACAGGGAACCACAGCATCAGAATGTGGTGTGAACAGAGTGCAGACAAAAGTTGGTGTGACCCACAGCATCAGGATGTGGGGTCACAGGCTGGTGTGAACCACAATATCAGAATGTGGTGTGAACAGAAGTGTGGCCACAGGATGGTGTGAACCACAACATCAGAATGTGGTGTGAACAGGAGTGTGGCTACCGGATAGTATGGAAAACTGCTGTGCTATAATAAGACCCAAGAAAAAAACACAGAGCTCCTCTCTAAACGGACCTGTAAAACAAGCAGAAATGATCACAGGATGGCCGTTCCCACCTGCAAAACAGACCTATGCAATTCATGCAAATATTCAGGCCCCTAATCTCTAATTCCAATATTTTATATTTTCTTTCTGAGACACTACCCCAGTTAAGGTGTGTGGATATTTGTCTGCCAATGGGTTCTTCAAAAAGACATTGAAAGAATTTACAAAGCCAGGACATGAGTCCTGATCTGGGTCATGAGCTGTCTTATGGGCTAGGGTTTCATCCTGGGGACAGGGTCACAGTCCTAAACGCTCCCAACCCCCTTGCAGAACCCCAATCACCCATAACCACCCAGCTGCCTACAACTGGGCCTGGGTCAGGAAAGGACCAGACAGCCATAGGATTCAAAGTGGTCACGGAAGTCAAAGTGGTCCACAGCCCACAAACACCTGTGGCCCACTCCCCACTTGAAATGCTCATCTTCTGGCCCTGTCACCATGCACACTAACTGCTCATGGTGACCCCCTGCTCCCCTCTGGACCCTACAGGAGGCAGCACAGGGAGGAAAGGGAGAGAGAGGAGCACTCACCCCAAGGCTGCAGCTCCCAGAGCCTACATTATAAGCGAGTTTAAAAAAAAAAAAAAAACCCACAAAAACAAAAGCTAGAAAGTGCTATCAAAAGAGGAATTCCTTAAAGTAACAGCGTGAAGCGGCAGAACACAGTGGGAAGAATGCAGTTCCCACCTGAGCTGGTGTGAGAACTGTGGAGAGGAGCAGTGCGAGGCTGAGAAGGCCCCTCAAACCCCAGCGACAAACAGGAAAACAAAGGCTGATTACACATCTTCACTGATGCAGATGACTTAAATGTACCTGGATAGGAGAACATGGAGAATGAAGAATCTTTTTGCATCAAAACGCCTTCCTCCTCTCCAACCAGGGAAAGCACTTACTTAGCAGTCACTCACTAAATGAAAAATGCAAGCACCGCCCAAAATGCAATGATACTCCTTTCCTACACACACATCAATACTCTCAAGCAATATCATGCAAGTAAAGAAGAGTGAAAACAGTACTTTCCCTCTAATGAATTCCATTTCCATCTGCCCTGAAAGATCTTGAGTGATGGAGTTGAGAACACTGCACCGTACTTCTGTAGGGAACCCCGGGAGGTGATGGGGTGAGTGCTGGGCACCATTTCCTCCTCGGAGGCACTAATGTACTTAAGCACTGACATCAGGCTGCTGTATCTCACCTGGGGTTACTTACTATATCAAGAAATCAAAATACATGTAACTATCTTCAGGCAACACAATACAGTGGTTGAATGGTACAACCAGCTGTGCAGTCAAAGCCAGTGGGAGAGAGCAGAGGGCCCCTGCATCACTACTTTGCTGCCTCTTTTAGGGCAATGGCTCACTATTATCTGGATGGTAACAGTTTAAGTAATAATCAATCACAGGGCTACTCTCAACACTCCAGAGATAGCTGCAAGAAGATGACCCAGAAGCACGTGAATCCCTGGGCTATTAGGAGGCACTAGAGGGAAGTGACCGCCCCGACCCTGTGCAGCTGAGGAGAAGGCACAGCAACAGGAGCTCAGTATGGTCAGTGCCTGACAGTGGTCAGCGCACGCTGTGTGGGACAGAGGCTGAGGGAGTCGGGACGGATTCTGAGCAAAGTCAGGAAGGACAAAGGGGAGGGAACTGGAAGAGGAAGCACACATTTTGGGCAAAGCGCTACCACATTTAACATGTATCCAACCTAGCATATTACTCTGAGCAGCCTCTTCGCACTAAAAACCTACTTGTTCATTTCTGTACTAATACACGTCCCTTCTTATCCTAGGCTTGTCGATTCACAATGTATGAATCCTTCAAGTCCACTGCCCCAGCCGTCTGTCATCAACCACCGATACCTACATTGCTTAAAACACCACCCTTCCATTCTTGGTTGTCTACAGTTTCTTACCCTTTCCAATTATTCTAAAAACTAATCCTCCCTCTGAGGTGACCTCATCGAGCCGTGCCCCAAGCCAATCTCTCCCTTTGCTCCACAATGCAAACAGGTCCAGGCAGAACACAGAGGTCTCCCATCACCTGGCCCTTCAGCTCTGCCTAAGCCACTCTCCCAACATGACCAGCTTACCTCGGCTGGGCCAGGCCTCTGCCCTGGAGACACCTCCTCCTCTGTTCTCAAGCCTCTGCTAATGCGGCTCCTCCCCCCCTTCCTCCTCACCTGCCCTCCGTAGAGAGGGACATGCCAAGACAGCGGGGAGGTGTGGTGGCTGCTCAGAGCAGCACCTGCTCGGGAAGCAGGCTCCTCCCCACTGGCCCAAGCCTCAATATTACATGCAGATCACCCTCTTTCAGTCTCTTCTGTCACTCAGTTAAAATGCAGTGGTGGATCAGCTAATATTAATCCAATTAAACGTGCATGGAGTTTGATGCCAGAGACATGGTGAACAAGATACAGATGGTCCACAGGGAGACGCAGCAAGTACACAACTAGACCAGCAGCTTCAGTGTGGCCACTGCTAGAAAGATTACCGGATTACCGTTCATGGATTATGGTGAGACATGGAACTGTCCATGAGATAGCAATGAACCTGACAACCTTGAAATTGAAGTTTTCTTGGGTGTGTGTGTGGGGGGGGGGGGGCGGCGGGGCAGACACCAGTAGTACTAAGAGCAGCCATTAGCTGCACGAACCCATCCCAAAGGTGGTTCAGGAATCTGTAAGGGAACAAGTTCAGTGACCAGGGTGTGTCCCAGGGAGGCATGACTGGTATGTGACTCTAAGAAAGAATGAGAAATGAACTCAGGGACACGGAGAGAAGGGCTTTCACAAAAGAATAAGATGATTAAGATTTTGAGGATGTTTATTCAACGCCTTTCCTGGGAAAGAGGGACCCATTTGAGGAAAACAAACTTGTCCAGTTACCAGAATTACTCTCTGTGGTTGAACAGGGACCACTTATCCGGCCATAAACTCTACAGCTGTAATAAGAATTATACCCTAGTGATTTTAATTATCTTATGGCTCATACTCAGAAAGGCTAGCTTCTTCCTCAAAATAAATTTTCTCTACTGTTTCCATTCTTATTCATTTCACTCTCAAGAAGTTCGAGAAGGTTCAGTTAAAGACCTCTTATATTTCTGGATTATCCCCTACTGCAGTGCTGGGCATCACAATAACCTTTGGATCAACGACTGAATTCCCGTACATGAACTGTATCCAACACTCACAGGCTTTATGGAATTTGAGAAGCTTTCACTTTAATATCTAATTGACCTTTAACTGGAGTAACTCCCATTAAATTACTTTTAAATTTATTGGTGTCCTTCCATTCTTTGTGAAAGTTAATCTAATACCTAAATGTAGGAAATTCAGCCCGGCCGGCGTGGCTCAGTGGTTAAGAGTTGACCTATACACCGTTCCCCATCAGGGCACAAGCCCGGGTTGCAGGCTCGATTGATCCCCAGTAGGGGACATGCAGGAGGCAGCTGATCAATGATTATCTCTCATCATTGGTGTTTCTCTCTCTCTCTCCCTCTCTGAAATCAATAAAAATATATGTGTTTTAAATGTAGAATTTAAAAATGTATTTAGAAAATGTATAATATAAAAATGTTAAAGAATGTATTTTCAGTCACCAAGGGGGTCTTACTTATACATAAAGTATTTGTAATGAACTATTCCTTTCTGTTTGTTTGCTAAGTTCACACAATTTGAATACTATCTTTAAACACTATGT